ATTTTATGATTTTGATCTTGTTTATTCATTCAAAATATTCGTATGATCATCACAATATTTCGTCAATAATGAGGCTAAATATGTTTCTGCTATAGTCAAGTGATCAAAGGTCACTTTTTCTTGGAACCAACCAATGCTCGGGGATCACTCGTGCTTCTACCTCTAAGTAATGTTGTCTTGTCCTAATTGCTAATGGAGCAAACCAGAAATGGCGAATCTTAGAAGAAAAAGAGTGTTAATAAAATAATCTTTTCTTTTAAATTTTTTTCGTCTTACAATTTTTCTTTTTATTAATTTATCCGATGAATTTTAAATCAACCAACTTTGTTATTGCTGTTTATAGCTGCCACCTATCTATTGGCTGTGCCAGAATTATTAGCTCACCTCAGTCCTCATATGAGATACTGCAGAATCACTGGAAATTAATTTCACTCTTGAGCAAATGTACTGAGCAATGAAATTAATTTTATAGCTGCGAACGTTATCAATGTGCCCATAAAAATGGAATATAAATGGGGCCGATGTGGGAAAGAACATCAATTTGCTCGGAAACAATAAACTAAATCTTTGAAATTAATTTCAGTGTACAATAGAAGAGTTGAAATAAAATGAAATTGGTTTAATAAAGTGTAATATTTACTGAATTCTTCTTCATTGATTGCTGATCATTAATGTTCCATTTGGAAAATTTTATAACAATTTTTATAACAATTTGTTCGGTTATTTAGTTATTAGTGAAGAATGTTTAAATTATTTAATCTCAGACGCATTTATCCCCGAATAAGATATTTATTCGTTGATGTACTTAACCCATCTTTAGATAAACGAACTAAACGAATTGTTTTCTCGAAAACTGCAATTACGAATAGTTCATCTTTAAGAAGCAAATACTGTAATAATTGCTAATATTGTTTAAAATTTTCTAAAATTTTTTATATATCTTTTTTACTTTTGCCACTTTTATCTGCTAATCAACTTGTATAGCTATTTCCGATTTCTGACTGAAAAACTTTTAATTTTGAAACGACTATTAGCCTATCCAGAATTGCACTTGAGAGGAGATTTATATATTTCATCAACAAAACTGGTAAGATAAGAAAATTGAGATATTATATCGAGAATGTCTCTACCATTCTAAAAAACTAGTTTAATGGTTTTTTTGAAAAAATCGATTTCACAAAAATTTTTCCATGTGACCTAAAATTAATTACATCAAACTATATATGAAGTTTTTAAGATTATTATATTGTGATACATTTTTTTAGAGAATAATTCACTTAAGATCAGTATGGCTATGATGAATTATTTCTTTGACTATCATAATTTAATGAGAAATTTAAGAAAAAACATCTGAGAAAAGCGAAAATAATATTGACACCAAATCGCCAAAAGTTCATTGCCCACAGCTGTTAGAGTGCTTCGAAATGCAGAACCAAATCCAGAATTCCAAAATCTTTATTTGACAAATATTTAACGGATTTTTTGCGACAAATGTCTAATTCTAATATTTAATATTGTTTCATTATATGAGACATTTTGTGATGTTTTCTTTTTTTTTGAATTTTTAGAAGTTACTGTTTCCTTTTAGTACATCTATGAAATTCCTTCTTTAATTAAAGCAAAGCTCTAATAAAATGCGCTATTTTTAGATATACAATTCATCTGCTGAAGATAAATTCATTGTGATAGTCGCTGAATAATGTCAGATATCGGATATGGATAAGATATATCATATATTAAAACATGGCATCGATTTTATTAACATGTTCTTGCTTCGATCTTCTTCAAAAAATGGTAGATATGAAGGAAGCATATGACGATCTATTTAAAAACTTTTTGAGTATTCGCGGTTAATTTAGGAAAAAGCAACAAAAATTTCTTACTATAATGATCAACAAAGTATTTAGTAAATTCTAATGATTAAATTAAAAAATAATTTCTTTTCGACCAATCGATCATTTTTTGCCAAATTCGATAAATTTTTTTAAAATTTCCAATAAAATATATTTTAGAAATTTAGAAAAATCGGTTAATTACATTAAAATGATTGCTAATCAAAAAATTATTTTAACAATGAATTAGTATATATAATAGATAAAAGATGAATTCCATCTGATTTTTTTCATTTTTTTTGCATGAAAAATATAGAAAATATCTTGAATTAGACGAAAATTTCAAAAATCCTCTTGTCCTTCTTTCAAGTTTATTTATCATTTATTCAGTAACTATTTATTTCCACTTGCTTTACCGTAGCTGTGCAATTTCTTCTTATTGGTATTCTGAGTGCATAAATGACACTCCATTTCTGATTCTACTGGCTAATAAGGTTCACCTCACCAAAGCGTCACTTAAGGATCGAATACAGGTGGGTCACTTTGATCAGGAAGTGAACCTTGAAGATTAATTCCATCTACTGGATTCCACCTAGATTCCACTTTTTAATTTAATTCATTCTTCCAATAAAAGTAATCTGCGATTATTTCATTATTTGATTTTCATGCCATTTATAGCTCATGAAATTGATTACTCTACAAATAATTGCGTTTTTTTCAAAATGTGTTTACTCTTCTCCTCCCCTTTATGACAATTAGTCGTTGAAAGTTTTTGATATTATTTTTTATTATTTATTATTATTGTTATTATTCACTTAATTTAAAAATCATCATTAAAACGAAGTCACAAAAAAAAAAAATTTCATTTTCTCATAAAATGTATTATTTTGTTAGTCGAAAAAATATTAATATCAAATAATTTCAAGTTATTTATGAATGCAGATGTGGATTAATGGAATTTTTTGAGTTTAATCGCTTTTTTTCCACTTTTTTAAAAAAAGTTTATCCGACAACTCTTTTGTACTTTATATATTTGTAACTCTTTTGTACTTTATATTATATTTTGCCAGTATATATTAACACCAGGTCCTAAGACCTATAAAGTCTTATTTTGTTAAGGGATTATCAAAGCTAGCTAATAAATGCCATCTAAGATGAACCAACGATGTTCTCCTAAACTGCTACTTTTTAGTTATTCTCCCGTTTGTTTATAATAAAGTTTTTATAAAGAAAATAAATAATAGAAAAATTAATATAAGCAAACGGAGAAGAATAAAATTTAAATAAAATTTTAGAATCATAGAATAAACTTTAGCTGTCGCATGCTCAGCTAAAAAATATGCACTATTTTATCTCATTTCCATCGTTTTTGACTCATTATACTTCAACAAAAATGAAACAAAAATTGTAAAATCGCTGAACTCTATGGAATATTTTAGGCAGTTTTTTTCGTTGAAATGAATGCCATCGAAGCATATTTCTTATCACTTTTTTTCCATGGTTATAAAAAGGTAAGGAAAAAGTATTTCAACGTGCGATTATTTCTTCTCTCAAAAGTTTTCGCCAATAGGAAAATTCTCCATTTTTTCTTACAGCGTTTTACAATTAGCTCGTTCCTGCCAATTTTTCTAAAAAATTTTTGTAAATAAATTTTCTGCTTCCAATCATCACTTTCCAATTTTTATGGGCAGCGACAGTCGAGCAGTATGGTTGCCTCGATTCTCAGACTCGATCCTTGCCTTAATAGGAATAAATTTGTTATTAAAAAGGGTTCTATCGACGACCCATCTGTATTCCTCTCATGTGACACCCTGGTAAAAATTTATAACTGCGCTAATAGTCAGCGGAGCTAATCTAATTAGATTTGATGAATGCTAACTTTATTTCTTTCTTAACATTCAGTTCTTTATTTTTTCGCTTTTTCATAAGTAAATTTTTTTTCTTTTTTTAGGAATTTATGAAGCAAAATTGCACTTTAAATAACGTAAAAGTATTAATGACTTGACCTTGCTCATAATCAGTGGAAAAAATGATTGAATAGCCTATAAATAACGGGTGAGCCACAATTTCTATCCATACATACGGTAGTAATAACAGTAGCAAGTATATTACAGTTTCCATTAATTTTTGTTATGACTTTTCAATCACTATTTATCCGCTACTGAACAACGCGGGGTAAGTGGGGTCGTTTTCAGCAAAACAAATTATTTCTTCGATATCTTTCTCGCCGTTTTTATAAAATTTTGTGTCGATAATACATTGTTCGTAATAATGTTAATTCGTTTCGTAAGGAAAACTGGATTGCAGTTTAGTGATTCTTCATTTTTCCGATAAAAACTTTATTTAGTGCCTTTTATATGATGAAATTCGGCACGAATTTCGAAACGATTTTAAATAATATTGAATATTTCCACTGAATTCAATTAAATTTATCCTTTATCAAATTTATCAGTGAAAAGCTAAATTGAACATTTTTCTTAATTTACCTTATAGTTGTTCAATAGTCGTTAATCTTTATCAATAGTCTTATCCTTATCCTTCAATAGTCGTATAGTTTAGATCAGCGATTTAAACTTATTCAATTCGCCTTTACCTTCATTCGTTCAGTTTTCCTATTAAGCTTTATTAAATATAGATTTAAATCTGTTGTTTTTCAGGTAAGCTTATTTTCCGACTCGAAAGACCACTTAATTCATTCATTCATTCCATTTTTATAATTAATTCATTCCTTTCCATTTCCATATTTATTTATATATATATAAGAGAATGTTTAGAAAAATATTTTCGTGATGTTAATGAAAATCACTGCTATTAATAAGAAAAAGTAGTATTAATCATCTTTTCAATATATTTGGCTTTTTTTTGCATTTTTATTTTGTAAATCTGTAACTGTTGAGATATTTTTCCACTGTATCTTAAGCCTCTTTTGCAATTTTTATAATTTTTTGTATAAATTGCACTGATAAGAATGTGATTCGTATTATTCTATGAAATTTAAGAGACTTTTAAAAATAACTTTATTTAAAAACTTAAAGATTTTAAATTTATTTTCAGATATTTTGCAGTAATTATGTAAAAAGCTAAATTATTTGGAGTCTATTGATGTATTTTGTAAAATAATCATTTTATCAACAAATTATCAGTGATTGTCAGTGATGTATACCAAATATGGAGTATATTTATAAAATTGCACTTATTTTTACATTTTTCTTTCTAAACTGTGGCTGTATTCCAAATACATCACTTTGCAGTATTTTCGATGCATTTCGAATACAACCTGATAATATTAAGGTACTTTTATTTATTTAAAACGGAACTTGTATTTTAATATTATAATTCTGCCACCATACATATATATATATTCCTTTATAATCATGTGAAAAATTATAGTATGAAATAGGAGGTGCATTTCCATTACATGGTAAGGATTGTACTGAACTAGAAGCAAGTACTGTACAAGATATTGTCGCGATTCAGTGGGCATTAACATACTGGAATCAAAATTCGAATAACAGTCAAGCAAAAATTGGTAAATTTGTTATTTCATTCGAATGATTCTGATTATAAATTTGAAATATTTTATAGCAAATTTTATTGGGCAATTTCTCCATAACAAATTTTTGTAAAATATATATTGTTTTTCATTTCATTCTGTTCGTATTTTGTAAATATCATTTTATAAACTAGTTTTAATCTATAAAAGGTGGGTTTTTTTATTCATTAAACCAAAATATAACTATTTTCACGAAATGTGCAGCAAGCAAATCAAGCATGCCGGTATTGCCAATATTATTGACGCAGGAGTTTGTAGTTGCATCATTGTAATCTGTTGCATTTTTTTGAGTAATTTGATCTTCGAACTTGCTGAACTTTTTGTCTTTTTTCTTACATTACTTGAAAACAAAAAGTTTAGCAAGTTTATTTACTGGTATCGACTTTTATGTCGACTTTGCAAAATACATATAAAGTCATTTGTAAATTCAATAAGCATTAAAAATTTGACTATAGTATTTTTAAAAAATCGCAGGTCTTTATGCCGGAGATTCATGTTCGCGAGTGAAAGAAGCATTGTTTCAAACAACAAGGTTTTTGGACTCCCTAGGATATCTTGGACCCGAAGAATGCATTTCAGAGACAAAGAGACGAAGGCTATCTCCAATTTTACTCGGTTTTTTATTTTAGCTCAAAGCAAACTACCTCAACAAACTCGAACTAAAACAAGGATTTCTTTTAGAGTGTCGCGTTTTGTTATTTATTAATAAACTTATTTTCCAGGCCTTTTATCACCAAAAGATTATGAATCTGCCAATGCTGTGGCATCATCAATAAAGTCCTTATCCATTCCCGTCGTTACTTACAGCACTTCATCTGCACAAGCTTTTATTAACAATGGCATCAATAATTTCATAACTACTGCACCAACGCTTTCAGTATTCATTGAAGTAAGTTACCACTGCCACTACAAAAAAAATAATTTTTAGCAATTTTTAGTAACTAATTAACTTTTTCATTTATTTTTTTCAGTTTCACTTGTAAAGTTTGAATGAAGCATTGATAATGATGCAAACACATCAAATTAGTATTTAAAAAAATAATAAGCAAAAAAATTTCAATTTGATTGCAGCTCGAAAAAAAATTTAGGTTTTTCTTAAATTGATGAAGATTCTGAAAAGTGATTTGGTTTGTATAGTCGACGATGGAACTCAAATACAATCAATTTCACGACTAGTGCATCAAATAAAATCGAAAAAAGTTTTCGTGTCTGAAATAGTTTCTCTGGATGATCCAAATTTTTTCGACATTATTTCTTACTCTGATAGTCAAATCATTTTATCTCTGATAAATAAGCATCAGGTAAAATTATAATTATCATTATCATAGTCATAGTCATTATAATTAGCATTTAAGGCAATTGTTTTTTCTATCATTATTCAATGGGCCAATAGCCAACCATCTAGCAGCTTAAGATTTAAATACTTCACTATATGCATCTCATAAGATGAATTTCAGTTAATTGATTTGTTAACAAAAGCCAACGCTTTACGACGTGATAAATTGTGGATTGCAATATTACCTGATTCAGATAGACTTTCTCCACAAGAACAATCAAATATCGTAATGAATGGTATAAAAATTCAGGTAATTACAAGATTATCGTCAAAAACTTAAACAAATTCAAATATTCGCAAATATTTTGGCTTTATCTGCTTTCTTTGCGATATTTTAAATCTTTTTCTATAAATTTGGATGCTAAATTCTTCAATTATAATTTTAAAATTTTTATCAATTTTTCAATATTATTTGGATTATATAAGTTCATGAAAAATTAACGATACTTCAGGCCATAATATTACAACAAAAGCAAAAAGAATTTTTCCAGTTTGGTGAATATTTTCAGCGAGTTATCAAGGATAAATATCAGTCTTATTTCCTTTTGACGGCCTATGTTCAAAAGGTTTAAAATTTTCATATAAAGAAATCTAAAATTAGCTCAGCAATAAGCTATCAAAACAAGCTATAGTGGATTGCAATATTACCTGACTCAGATTCTGGATCCTATTTCTGTTTTTTAAAATATCTGTCTGACCGTTCATCTTGAATAGAATAGTTGTGCAGAATTTCACCTTACTAGTCAATGTGAGCAATAACCAACTCATCAAAGTTTTGAGATGCAAGGATTATAAGGTTTTCTTCAATATCTCAGCTAATAAAGGATGTTTTACTATATACAGGTGCACAACTGCACAACTAGCAGATTTGAAAATAAAATTGATTGTTCTAAATTGGATCTTAACATGATCAAATCCAAATATGAACAAGCTACGTCAGTTGAACCAGCAATTCGTGCTGCATATGGATTTGCAGCAGTTGGAGCTAAATTATCTAATTCCAAAGATAAAAAAATCTGGTTTGTGGAAACTTATGATTTTTGTGTTATTTTTTATATGGTATACTTTTGCCGTGAAACACAATCGAACGAAAAAAATTTGAGAGAAAAAGCGCTTAAAAATTCCTCATATTTGAAAAAAACTACTTGCCAGTAGAAAAATAATTTGTGCATTTGTTTTAGATAATCCACAATAGATATAGGCATCTATTTTCTAAGCAAAATCAATCCTCGAATTTCCTTGAATCTTTTTTCAGCGAGAAACTATCATCGGAATGCACTAAAAGAATTCTATTCGAACTCGAATCATTGATTTATGAATTTAATAGTGAAGATGTGGAAGATCTGAATGAAGAACGACTTCGTTTTTATCGCTTAAATGAATCGATCCTTATTTCCAGTGGAATTATCATTGAAGGAATCGAACTTATTAATGATGATTTTTATGGGCCAATAATCGCTAAAGCAAGTCTAAAATTGCCACAAAAATCGAGCTTATTTCAAACGTATTATTGATTAAATTTAAAATTGGAATTAAATTTCGAATCAGAATTCTTCGAAATCAACAATTTCATTTTTAATGCTTCCAGTCTATCGAATATGAAACAGGACGACAATCGCGTTTTGTCAATAACAACCTCCGTGTGCGAAAAATTCGCTCTATTTGTCCACCGTACCGGTCATTCTGCGGAAAATGTCATTATACAGTGCAAGCAAAACCAAATGTATTCTTTGAAATAAATTCTTTATTTGAATTATCTATAAAATTAGCAGATCTTGCAATTTCAAAAATATTTGAATGATTTTTTTTCTACCAATATTGCTAGTTAGGCTTGTTCTGCTGGCTTATCAGACCAGAAAAATTTTAACAGCATTCAGATTTCTGAAAAATAGTTTAAAAATAGTTTACTCCTACCCAGACGTAAAATCTCAGCACCAGCAGTCCAAACTAAGCAACAACTCACTGACCCTTTTTCGCCACTTCTGCCTTCGATGGGCCTCGAAGGACATTGGTCTCGACGAAACGTACGCATCGACCTCCAATTCGAACTCGAACCATCCCTCATTCTCCATAACAATCATCTTACCACTAAGCCACTGTTGCAGCGAGGATAAATGATAATAAGCCTAAATTATCGGAAGTTTTTTGTTGAGATCTGTCAAATAATTTGCTCATTACAGAGATATTTTCTGCTGACACCCAAAGAATATCCAGTTTATCTCATGGGATTATTTGATTTTCGCGAAGGACATTCCTGTGAATTAATCGGAAATTTCGATATTTCTATTCCTATGGCTTTTTATTATACGGTAGTTTTCCATTTTCTATTGTGCGAAATTTAAAGCAATCACCGCTTATTGCAAGTTGGGCTTTAATTTGTTTCATATAGGTACCAAAACACTTTTCTTACCGAACCATGAAAGCACAAAAATTTTTTCTCAGAATAATTTTTGACGATATTTTAACTTATATCATGCAGTTTATAATGGTTCAAAAGAAGTCTAAAAATATTCCTTAAAATTTTTGTGACTAAATTTTATGATTTTATACACTGTGTATATTTAATACTTTTATTAATCATTTTTTATTGTTAATTTAGGTGTCAACTTTTCAACAAAAGTATGGAGAAAATGATTTGCTTCGCAATTTAGATCTCGGTGTAATATTTGCAGATTCTTGTACAGTTGCGCGACGAGCCGTTGAAACCATTTTACTAGGCGAAAATCATTGCTTTTCATTTCAGCAAGCAGAAAGAAATATCACATTAGTTCCTGGATCTATATTTGGTGAGAAAAAGAGTATATACTGAATATTTATATACTGAAAATTATTTCAACGCATCCTTTCCTCTTTCTTTCATAATCGCATGAAATTTTCACAACAATCCTTCATTTCTATTAATGAATGGTTAAATTAATGGTTATTCTTTGTCCGCTAAATAACGATCGAAAAATTAGTAAAATCTATATTTGCTAAATCTGAACTTAATAAAATTTATATTATGACAAATATTTCATATTTTACGTATCTGTTCATTTTTGCCAAAAAAATAAAATTTCGTCTTAAGAATTATAAATGGAAATTTTAAGGCCATTTATCAGCAGTTAATGATGTGGCTAATAATGCAATCGAAGAATTATTTACTCTTGGCGAAAATGTTTTGCTTTCATTTAATTCGGACCGATCTAATTCCATAGACAAATTTACAACGATGCCATCAAATAAACACCAAGCAATAGCTCTCGTAAAAATTCTGAAAAAATTTCACTGGGAATATGTTACAGTTGTGCTTTCTGAGCAGGTTTTTATTATTTATTGCCTCTCAGGACTTTGAAACATATTAAAAATTAAAAATTCTTTTTTTGCAATGCGAGGTTCTAGAAAATTGGCTAAAAATAGCACCTTATGCGTTTACAGGATATGACTTCAAAAGCGGCATTTCGGCACTTTGAAGAAATGGCGACCAATCGTGGAATTTGTATAGCTGCAGTAGTAAGAATTATTGGCAGTAATATACCTAACACAGTTTCACCTTCAGCTACCAATGTCACGCTTTTTTTCGCCACTGCTCTAGATACAGCTAACTTCTTTGCCGCTAGATTTCGAAGGGGTTGCTTTTTTTCTTTAATCTCATTATTTCGCTTATTAGAGAGAAGTCATGAAAAACAATCGCATTTCTGCAAGATATTTATAGATTCATACCAATCTCGAATTCATATTGTTCTTGGAAACGGTCATGATTTTTACTTAGCTGATCCATCAAACATAGCAAGTTTTGTTGGGACACTATCCATACAGCCTAAGGTGATCTCTTTTGATTGCAGCAGCCGCTATCTCGAGATTTGATTTTAAAAGTCACAATTATAGGATAAAATTCGAGATGACTTTCGTCAGTGGATAGAGTCAATAACACCGTTGACATTTCCGGAACCGTGGTACTGGGATTATGTCGAAAATCAGTGGCAGTGTGCATTATCAGCCGCAAATCGCCAACGCTATGGCGGAAATATGTGTACCGGTGTTGAACTACTCGATATTCCAAGTTTAGGTGAACTTCAACCGTATTATTTCGAGATCCTTAAAATAAAATAGCATTCTATTTTATAGCATTTTTATGATAACTTTCCACGATCATTTTCAACATTACATGAAAAATTATAGGCAGGATGACTAGAAGCGGTTATTTATCCGTAATGCTCGAAAAATATCTCTTTGCTGTGGATTCAGTTTATAAAAAACTCTGTCCGGAACAAAAAGGAATATGCAATGAATTTTATATTAAGGGAAAGAAACAGATTTTAAATGCACTAAGGAAAACTCAAGTCGAAGATGCCTTCGACATATATGAATTTCTTCCTGATATTGGAGGTTAATTATCAAGTCAAGAAATTAATTTTGTGGCTAAGCTTATTGACCAAATTAGCTAAAGATTGAATTTAATCTAATTAATTATAACACATTCTTTTCAGGTACATTTTCTTATAAAAATATTGGCAATTGGTCATTCAAAAATGGCCTTCAATTTAGTGAAAATTACCAATATTTCGATTTTTTAGCCAATCTTCATTCTTCCAATAAAATATTATCAAAAACGTAAAGTTTTTTCTTCATTATATTACGTAAAATAGGCGCAAATTTCTGTCTCATTTTCAGTCTCGGAAGCAATTTCTTAATTATCTTATTTTTTAAAGAGATTCTCTAATTTCAGAGTAGTGTCTCTTTGTGTACCACCATCTTGCGAATGTCGTTCGAGTTATAAAAAACGTACAGAAGTTTTATCAGATGATTCACCTTCTATTAGTGGATCATATATACGAAGTCAGCCTGCGAATTCTGTCACTAATCGAGATTATGTTTCAGTAAGCTTTATTCATATATTTTTATGCATTTACGGCTAATTTAAATGTAGATTATACCAATGAATTGCTCAACAATTTACTTAATAATTTTTAATTTAAGTTGTCGGCGGATTTGGGTTATTCGAATCGACGCGTATGGAATTATGTTCTATTAACGTTAATAACCATAACGTTAATAACAGCGATATCAATAGTTGTATTAGTCTGTGTTAAAATGTACTTAAGAGTTGTGAAAGGAAATCAATCATTAGGTATATCGTTGTTAATTGGAGTTATTATACTTAATATTTCGGCATATCTGTTTATCATGGATCCATCTGACGTCGTAAGTTATTCATTTTACTCGTTTTTTGTAAAATTACTATGAACAAAGGGTTGGTCACAAAAATTTGCCACACCTAACAAATAATAAATTGATATTTATAAAACCATAAAATAAACCGTAAATTTTGAAAAAAAAAATTTCATCACTTTAGCTCGAGCGAAAAAAGGTTTTTCTTCGATATTAAATTTTCTATTTCCTTCGAAAAAAGTTGACTGGACCTTGCAAGGATTACCACTGCGTTTAAAGAAATTGGAAATCTATTTTAAAAATTGAAAATAAATTTAATAAATTTACAGATTTGCCGATTAAGAATGGTTTTTCATTCGATTGGTTATACGGTTTGTTTCGGCGTTATGATTGCAAAAGCAACTCAACTCAAAAATGCTGAAACTCTTGGTTTTTCAACTATTGGTTATATAAGTTACTGGAATTATTGGCTCTTATTACTTTTTGTGATTGGAGTTCAAATTGCTCTTTCACTCAGGTGACCTACTAATCTTTTCTTTAATAGACAAGTCTTCCTCCTATTGCACGATAGATCATCATTATTTGCATAAAAAGTTTTAAGATGGTTGGCTCAACAATATGTATTAAACATCGTACTAAATGGACCTCAGTATCATCCAGTTTGTGCCTATAGTGATTTGGAATTTTTAACATCGCAAGCTTATGTTGTAATATTACTCGCTCTGTCGTTTTTTATTAATAGCAGAAATAGAAATATCAAGAGAAATTATGAGGTAATTTTTCGATCCTAATTTGTTTTTTTTGCGCTTCAAATAGTAACCATCATTTCAGGTTCGGCTATACTAAAAATCTTTACTAGGATCCTTCTCCAAAAATTCATTTGGCAATAGAAGTACAGGTGGACCTCCTGCATCACTTGTTTTATTTTCAGTGATAGTTATATTCTTACTTCTATCAAGGCCAAGGGCCGAACTTATGATATGATAGTTTCGATCTTATTCAGAGCAACATAACATTCAACGATTATATCCCTATATAGTTTACTATTGCATTTAAAATAATTTGATTACAGGAAACCAAATGGTTATTTTTGGCGTCACTTACTTGTATATTTATATGGTTGGCATGGATGATAGCATATAATTTTGCACCAGTATTGTTTAAGGTTTGTATTTAATTACGAAGGTGTTCCATTTAATTAAATTCTAAAAAATTGATGAATTTTAAGGATAGTATAGTTGTAATTGAACTAATTCTTTGCTCGATTATTTTACTTGGATTTTTATTTGGACCAAAGTTATATATTTTAATGTCATATGAAACAGTTGTGGTGGATTGCGAAACGAATACTATAAATGGAAAAGGAACTCTTTATGAAAATGACCTATTCGAACCAGGTTAATGCATATTTAATATCCTATTGAATATCCCTGTTTTGATGGTTAACATATGCTGCGGAGATTGGAAGACCGTATATTAATTTTATTTGGAATTTCGACTTCTCAAAAACCTGAAATTCATGTAAAATTCAGAATTTTCAGTAACCAATCAAGATTCTAAAAGGAATATTTCTCCAGTGAGTAGTATATACAATTATTCTGTTGGTACTCCAAGTCCCGCGACGAATCGTCCAAGAAGCGATGATCAGGTGCTCTTCAATAACTTCAATAATATATATTTCTTCATTATAAAATACTTTGGCGTTGATTAAGTTTCACAGCCTTTTTTCCTTTCTTTAGGGCCCAGTTTTCCAAACAGTTGTACGAAAAAAAACTAAACGACGATCATCCTCCGAATATGCACCCCGAATTCAACCATTATTTGATCAGCAACTCTCATCAGCTACTCTTGAAATCAAAGTTAAATCACATAAAGCACCAGATTCGTTACGCCCTACCATTAAATATGGTTAGCAATATTTCTAGAGCCCGAAATTGTCCGCAATATTTTCATATTTACTAAATTAAACAGAATATATATTTATTTGAAATGCTTAATGTCGTCTCCCTATCAAAAATATTCTCAATTATTTTTCGTTCATTATAAATATTTTTAGATGAATGTTAAATGAATCTTTGCGATTTACTTTGACAAAGGAACTGCGAAACAAATGGGAAATTTAAAACGGGAAATTTTATCTTTTTTAGTGATGACACTTGCTCAGTGGTAAAGTCCACCAAGGATTTATTTTGTCCAATTTTTCTTTTTATCTTAAAGATTCGAAAATGGTACTTACAAAATTACAATACAGATGGAAGAATCAACAATTCATTTATAAAATTATAGTAAAAAAAATTCGATTTATCAAATCAAGTTTGAATAGTAAATGTTAATGGTAATAAGACAATGACAAATTCCTAGAAGAATTTATTAGACAAGCTATATAAGTAAAAATAATTCGCATGCAAAAATTTATATTCTCACATCACATGCTCAAATGAATTTGTTTATATAATAAAAAAGTAAAATATTTATTAAAATTACTATAGCAAATTAAAATACATACTTAACTCAACCCTTTGATCATAGGAATTCACACTGATCAATAATCTTCAATAATGCATTAGGCCAATAAAAGCTAACAATATACGGAAAATTTTCAGGCTTTGTTAATTTAAGTATAAAAGTATTTCTGAAATAGCTAATGAAAATTAAAGATTCATTGAAAAATGAAATAATATCGATAACCAACAGTTTTGAGTAAAATCATACGAAATGATGAAAAGGATTGACGACTTATGCCAAAAACTGAATAAAAACTTCTTTACGCCAATTCGAATTATAAATTTAAAACTGGCTATCCCAAGTATTTTCAAGAAAATTTACAGTCTCATCAGATACTATATACTCATTGTCAGATCGAATGTCGGCTGATGACATCTGTAAATATAAAACAAATTAGTTTTCTGCTGATTTTATTCGTGAATGATATCGATATTACTTTTGATTAAAAGAATGACTAGCATGGTGTTTTTAGGTTCATTTAAAAATAGGAATACAAGTGATAAAATTTCGCAATAATTTCTCTAAATAATTCACAATAATTTATTAAGAATGAGTGAAAACTTTAAAAATCTAAGAAACACTTAAAAATTTTTGCGAAAATAATTTATAAAAGCAATTATAAAAAATATAAACCGTTGGAACAATTGGTGGTGTCATTGACGAGTTCCTAAATGACTCAAAATTAAACGTTGAAAACCACCGATGAGAACGAATTTCATCTATATTTCGATATCCTAGACGTTGTTCAAAATTATGACAACATAAATTACGAATTAAACTGATTACATCGTTCGAAATATATTTTGGCCATAATAACTGATCGAAACCAATCAGTATTGTTCGGTAAATTTTTTCTGAACTTGAACTTGTAAACGGTGGCCTGAAAATTATTTTGTTCAACAAATCCACAGAATTAATATGACGAACGAATTTTAAAAACCTTGATGATAATGTGAAAAAAAGCAAGAATTTATAAGCAAATTCAATGATTGCGTTTAAGAAGATCATGGATTCTCAAAGTCAAATTAAAATCTAACAAAATTATGCAAAAATTATTTTTTATTTTGAAGAAAAAATTCGAAAAAGACGAACATTCCGGTTAGTAATTCGTATAAGAAAATTCCTAATGCCCAAATATCAACTGCGGTATCATGTCCTTTATTCAATATCACTTCAGGTGCCAAATATTCTGTAGTGCCACAAAAAGTCCATGTTTTTCCTCCATTTCCACCAAGAATTTTCGAAAAACCAAAATCTGTCTAAAAACAAAAATTTTATAAAACTACTTGTATTAAAGTTTTTATTTACAAATTGCGGTGGTTCTTCAATCGAACAAACTCTTTGATATTTGGTTATTAATGTAAAAATTCTTAAATTTATATCCAAGAATAATTGTAAATTAATCAAAATCAAAAGTTCGCTTCTACATTTACCATATAAAATAGTATTTTCTGAAATTCATAACAGCTCAGAGAAAAAAATTAGGGAAAACAAATGAAATGCGATGAATACGATTAAAAAATGTGTATCCAACCAATTTAGGTGTTCCATTAAGTTGTAAAAGCATATTTTCTGGTTTTAGATCCCGATAAACAATCGAACGATTATGAAGGTATTGGAGTGCTTCAAGTGCAGCCGCGCAGTAATAACGAGTTGTTAATTCATCGAAACGACCTCTAAAAATTGAAATTTAAAAAATTTTTCATCAACGAAAAAGTAAGTCTTAATTTTTCTCATTCATTAAATCTGAGAAGAACGTCGAATTGGCGATGATTTATAATATCGCGTTGTCGTTTTAAGGGGCAAGGATTCGGCCCCTGTTCCAATAAACCTATCATGAAAAAACCCAGCAAGTGCTGGTTGCCCACTTGTACTTCTATCCTTTGCCTGAGGAACGGTAAGCGTCTATCATCTATTTACATTTATTTACCATTCATTCGAAAAAAACCATTTTCTCTAATCAAATTCTAATTTCGAATTTGATTTTGAAATAACCTAACTTAGAAACTTATTAATTAAACTGAATTGAAAATTAAATCAAATAAAACGCACTTTTTCAAATTTGTAAAAAAACGATCTGTCGCAAAAAAATTTTAAATGGAACTGAGCATACAAGAAATTTAATTAGCAACTGATAAATTTTTAACAAAAAATAAAGAAATTATTACGTCAAAAAATGAAATTCTATTTTTTCCGAAAAATAGAAAATATTCAAGAAATTTGAAAAAAAAACAAAGAAACAAACCTTTCTTTGATTAATTTCCACAATTCACCTCCAATACAATATTCCATCAATAAATAAATACTACGATTGTCTCGATACGTTCGATGTAACCTGAAAAAATAGCTCGAATTAGTGGAGAGAGTGAAACTATGAACACTATTAGCAATTTCCTAAGCACTCTAATAAGGATTTGGCCAAAGAATAATCTTAAGAATTAAAATATAGATGGACAGTCAGCATCATATGGAGATTTCACTTTTGATGACAAACTCCCCTCGTCAAACAAGCAGGATGAGAACTTATGTTGCTCGACCTGCAAAGCAAGAATGGACCAACCATCTTCCAGTTTATATCGTTTTAAGTTTTGGAAACAAAAGTAAACGACCTGATGAAAAATAAAATGACCGACCTAACAATAAAATTGCAATCGCAAGACATTTGAATATTTCGTTCTGATATCACATGTGCTTGTTGTTTTTTATTCAGAATGAGTCGTTTATTAATGGCCTTTAAGGCATAAGTTTTCCGATTTCGATCACTTTTTACAAGATAAACTTTACCGAATGCTCCTTCACCAATTGTTTCAATTTTAAGGAATTCTCTAAGCTTCATCTCTCGGAATTCATCCTCATTGTTCATTCTGAACTCAATGATTGTCAGTTATCGTCAAAATGTATCAGTTTGTAGCTAAAATATTCAATGGATATTATTTCTACTAAACCTACTTATTATATAGCCTTCTGCGCTATAACTTCACCCCTCGCCATGTTCATTTAATAAAATCAATCAGGTGCAGCCTAACACCATGTTCATTAACTTAAAATTCAATATTTTTTCCTTCAACTTCAGCACTTATGATTGAAGTGATCAACTTTTGGTGTCATAAGTAGAATCCCATAAATGTCCAATCATGATACCACTCTCTATAGAAAATACTTTTACTTCAATGAAATCGAGAATCGCATTAACTAAAACGGAGCTAAATTTTGTAACGTATTAAAACAACGTTCAATAAATCAGAAATGACTAATGACCACCAAATAACAACTAACTCTGCCAAGCCAACCGACAAAAAGAACCTTAACCCTGTTGAGAATCGTGGATCTGTTTGACCACCGACCATCTGAAATGCAAGAAATAAAGAAATTACCTGTTTGAATCATTTTTATCGACAAATGCTGAAGCTCTCTGAATAGCACAGTGTAAACGATAACTAATCATCTTGAAAAAAAAGTATAATAAATTAAATGATTGCATAAAATATCCATGCTTTAAGAAATTCTCGCCTTCACAAACCAGCATCTTTCGATTTCGTCCGTTCATTATTATTTCACCCAAAGCCTAAATTATTCTTATTAATACAAATCCTATAAATACTGAAATTCTTAAATGTAAAAGTAAGGTTCATTTTTTTTTTAAAAAGACTTCATTTGATCCCATTTGATCGCAAAGAAGCAAACCTAAATCTTTAGCGATCCAAGAAATTAGTTTGAGCAATAAAAATTTCTAAATTTGAGACTTTTATTTTTAAAAAATAAATATTGGTATTAAAAAAGGTGTGAAAATGAGAATTTACTTTGAAATTTCAAAAACCAACCAATCCTCAATTCCCCAACTAACTCTCTAAAAAATTTCTAACCATACTAATTAACAACGGAACTCCTTATAGCCAAGAATAACCAAAAATAATAAACAGCGAGGAAGTTAATTGATTCTTTTCCTATAAAATTTCTGTCCTAACAGTTGCAATCCCTAAATGATTCTATCGACGAATGGGTCAAGTAAGCGGCGTTCGCGTTTTCTTAACCCAACGATATATGCGAAAAATATGCGAACCAAGCTCGGACACAACAATATTGAAAACGGCTGTACAAGTTCTCGAGCTACTTTGCCCTCTAATGAAGTCAAGCAATTGTCAAACTACTCAGTATGCACGAGGGAAGGTCGAGGCTGCGTGGAACACCAAAGCGCTTATGCATTTTGGACGCGTGATGATATCCAAACTCTGTCCAAACTGTCTACGTTTTAAGATACATCTTACATATTCGCCAAGTGGACGGAATCTCACATGATTAAACGCTCGAATACCCTTTGCATTAAATATATCGTCGCGACTACAGTAATTTACGCATCTCACTATCTGCTACAGCCGCATGACCTCAAAAACATGGAAAACGAAGCAAGACCTGCAACCCCTGCGTCAATATATATTTCGGAAGAATAGGCCTCGTCGTCAGCGGAGCGAGCCAGTAATGGTGAGGACTATAAAAGAGGAGCAACGGGAAATCAAATCGATTCGCTAAATATTACTACTTACACTACTTGAAGTGGGAAATGCTGCATACAAATCGAAAAATTCTATAAAATTCTATGTTGTTTGAGGTTCACGTGCAAATCACAACTTCCAGTGCAAAAAATGCTTTCCTTTGTCGCTATAAATAACACCTAAACTACCACTTGGCATTTCTACTGGTTAGTTTCAACTGGTCTCAGTTGCTACAAAGAGTGACGACTAGGAGTACCAATTAAAAGTTGCGTTAGCAGAAGAGATTTTAAAGAGACATATAGGAGATCCAGAAAATATATAGGCTTAGACGGTGAAAAAGAGTGGATTCTGTTATCTCAGGTATGGCATTGGAATGAGCACCCTGAAAACACCTTACTTTTCTAGCCAGCAGAGACAGCCTAACCAGTAAGAGCTGTTAGAGGAATAACTTAAGGAGGGATCCCTTCCAGGCCGGAAATTGCTTGAGGACAAAAACTATAAACATACATATATATATGAAAGGATGTACAAATAACATACAAATAAAATTATTGAAAAACAGTTGAATACTAATCAACTAAACAAATTTGGCCACTAAAAGCATTAAGAATAGTTCATTTCTCCAATTTTATATTCGATATTTTGAAATTATATGTTTGTAAAATAAAATAGGCATTTAATGGGAATGTAGCAAACAGACAAAATTAAAAAATCATAGGAAATGAGATGAAAGAAAACAGCGAAGTGATTATTATCAGATTATCGTCTTAAGCATCAAAGTTCAAACTCTGCTTCTAAACCAGTTCTTATCCGAGCGGTGCTGAAGATCCAACCCACCTGTCAAATGACAGCCCGAAAAAAAAGCTCCCCTCGTATTCCCACACTGAAACGAAGATCTAGCGGGACAAAGAGCCAGAAAATTTTTATTGAAATGAAGCATCAACTCGTCTCATTTAATAACTTTCAGTAGTAATAATTGTTGTTAGATTTCTAAGAAATATACGAATACTGGAAATAAATGCAATGAAATATTAGAAAATACAAATTTTAAGAGTAAAAAACTTCAAATTTATCGAAAGCGATATCTTTGACATGAAAATTTTCGAGGAAATTCTCAATATTAGTAAAAATTAAAAAGGAAGCAGCAAAAATATTTAAAAAATATTTAAAAAATTTATTTAAAATAAAAACACTTAAAAAATATTTCAAGATAATTTAAAACTTAAAACTTTAAAAACTTTAAAAGTATCAAAACATTTTTTCAACCAAAAAATGAAAAGGAAAAAAACTTACGAAAATAATAAAATAATAAATCTGTTGAATGTAGGAAAACAGTAAACAAAAAATAGTTCTAACTGAATTGCAAATCGTGAAATTAATCGACATATTTTAATTATTATTTAAAATAAATTGATAATAAGAATAATAACAACAAAAATAAGAATAATTGATTTGGCAATGCGACAACGAGCATCGTCGTTTGCGATTTTCGATGAGCAAGCAAACGCAACGTTAAAATGAGTTTAGTGGAACTGCGACAATTTGCGAAGGAATAAATTTTCCGAACCGCCTATCGCAATTTTGTTTTATTTCACTTTTTTGCCATTCGTCCTCGCTCTACAATTTGCTATCCAATTTCTGTTCCTCGAAATTTTTTATATTCTTTAAACTTTTGTCGAGTGGAAAATGCAAAACAGTCGGAGGAGAAGTTCAAGGATGTAGACTGAATGAGTTGAGGAATGGGAATCAAAGTTGGTTGCTATTTCATAAATGGAAGAATCAATTGCAATAATGAACGACTTTAATCCATGGAAGACGAGCCTTTCTCCGACTTATTAGAGGAATATTCGGCAAAATTTGAAACTAGAAACCTTACTTTGCCCATCTCCGAGTGGCGATGATGATCCACGAATATTTTTTCACCAAATGACTCGCAAGCAAATATTTCCAACTGCACCAACCACCAGTGCAGCCAGAAGTGGTGAGCGCTCACCACTCACTTCTTATTCCACATCACGCTTTAAACTGATATTTTTCGTAATTTCATACAATAAAATTATGTGTCATAAATCCCGACTTAAAACAAACCAAAATAACAATTTTAAAAATATTTGTCTTTGTTTCTTCTTTTTTTATTTTATATGGATAAAAATTCGCAAAATTTTCCAATAATTTCGAGGAAGAAAGATTTAATTTTGTTAATATAAAGTATAAAAATAAATTTATAAATTTATAAACTGATGACTGAACGAAAAGGAATTCCAAGTTTTGATGTGAATTAGTATTTATTCATAAAAATGGATTGATAAATGGGATTAATGCCATTTATTTTATCTTTAAAGAAACAGTCAAAAAAAACTCAAATTTTTATTAATGAATAATCATTTAAATGCGAATCCTCACCATTTAATCTTATCAGTAGTATCTTTTACTCACACTACATACTGATAATTTTTGCCAAAGATTTCTTGAAATTCCCAAAGATCTTTATAAAACTTCATTTATCAGCTAAAACTTTTAAAATTGAATCTTTCAAAATAAATTTTGACAGAACTTAAAAATTAAATAAATTTAATTTAAATTCGAAATGCTTTTCTTTTTTACTAATTTTATTTGATTCTTCTTCTTCTGGTCATATTTTTGTTAAATTCATCTCAAAAAAGCAATTCAAAAAAAAGATTTACTGGGAATATTTGCCAAAGAATTGAAAATGAAATGAAATAATGCATAAAAAATCATTTAATCGTTTAAAATGAAATATATTACAGATCATTATTTTAACAAGGATCATTCAGTCGCTGTCGGTGGTAAATCTCTCTTTAAAAAATCCAAATAATGCTAGCTACCCATCGCCTATGCTGGCTACCCACGAGATAGCTGCTCGTCTATGCTGGCTACCCACGAGATAGCTGCTCGTCTATGCTGGCCACGAGACATTTACACTTCCAAGTGGCTATATCGCAAAAGTGTTTTAATTGCCAATAGGCAGAGCCTAATGGGCAAAAGTGGCGGATGCTAACCACTAATTAGCTAATATGAATAAAAATTATACGCGAACTCGCGTTAAATCTATGGATTTTTTCATATTATGAAAATAAATATTTCTCCTATAGCAAATACGCATGAGAATAAATTCATCTTCGTCATTATTATTGCCGTAATTCACATTGTGTTCTATTCACGTGAATTTCATATGGAAAGACAGCTGATATAAGTGAGCAAAGATCAAAAAATATTTTATTTTATTGCTTAAATCTTCTCAATGACATAATTAAATCATCTCAGCATCATTTTCCTCTCACCCCCCCCCCCCCCCCCCCCCCCCCCCCCCCCTCCTTCACTCATATAATAAGAAGATGATAACGAACTTTGACACTAATTATTAATTATAGCATTATTTATAGATAAAATATATAAATACTTATTTTTTTAAACGCTTTACTTTTAATAAAAAATTAAAACCTTATTGCTAAAAGGTTAAGGTTTTAAGCTTGTGAACTTTCAGGAACTCAATAAACTAATTTTTATTGAATTTGCAGAAAATCTTTTATTATAGTTTATTTATATATTTATTATTTTATATTATAAAAAAATGTGTGAACTTGCTATATGTACATACTGCCATTATTATTATCGTCATTTCTTAAGCTTTATTTTACTTATTTTATATTGTTATTTATTTGAAAACAACCAAGCAGCTAGCGTCATATGCTGGTATTAACAAAAGCAAATGAGGTGCCAAGTAGAAGAAAATTATACTATCGGTACAAAATAAAATATGATAAAAACTAGCAATATGGGAAATACCACAAGTATAGGGAAATTACAGACAAAATAAATCGAACAGAATGTGTTACTAGTACACAATTGCATATTGAAAGACCAAAACTTCAAAATTCCTGCATAATGGGAAGTTTTTAAATAATATCGTGGATGATCAAGATTATCCAATTTTTTTTTAAAAATAGTTTTAAAATAGTTAAGAATGATGTACATATTACATTTTTCAGTAGCCTATTCCAATAATTAGCGGTGCGAAGGAAAAATGAGTTCATGAATCCTTAGTTTAGTTCCGCATATAGGTCTTTATAATTTCAGCCCATTAGTTTGACCAAAATATTTCCTGTAATATTATCATATTATTAATATAAATATTATTAATATTAATGGTGACCAATAATCTGCTGTGGAAAACGATAATTCAATGCCAAATCTAGGTAGACAATTGATACTTTTTTCCTATTATCAACCGCTGACCAATGAAAATTTCGTGCAAAAGCCATGCTAATAGGAGGATTGCCATCAAAATAGCTCGATTAATTGTTGCAAATCATCTCTCCACTATTCTTCTAACAACGTATATTAATTAGGCTAATATGCTTATACTGGAAGGGTCACAAATGTTTCTTTTCTTATGAATGGGAATTATATGGAACAGTTTCCAAATGAATTTAGGCCATATTTTATATCTTTGTAAATTAAAAATAGAGAATGACTTAGAAACTGCGTATTTTTTATAAAATATTTGTGGAATCACAATGTCACTGTGATGCAGACTTATGTTTTCGTGGATATAAAATTTTTTTTAATATTATTTTATTAAATGTTATAAAAATAATCTCTATTGATACTGCTATATGGCTGATAGATCTGGCCATTGAGAGTGGAGGACATTAATAAGCTAACTGCCTTTGACCACTCATATCTAAGATACATTTTGCTGGTTCATCGTGCGGATAAAATCGCATCCTTCTTTGTATAATTGTATCCTTCTTTGCTCACCTTCTGTATTAGTAATATTATCATAGAGGGTCGCCTTCGCTGCTTAGGATACGTTCTCCGTGGACCACCACAGGAGTTGACGCACATTTCGCTATTGTCGAACCCTGTGATGGTTGGCGTCAAAAGCGAGGTGATCCAATCAATACTTCGCAGCCAATTACTTCGTTTCTGCAAATTTATATGTATCTTAAAAATTCACCTTTATCTTTACCTTTACTTTTATATGTTTTTATACTCTTAAAACAATCAATAGAGCAGATTTATCGAATAATACTCCACTTAGTTGCTAAAATTCTTTTATGAAGATTCGAATGTATTTCGAAGTAACGCTCACTGCTATTCTGAAAATTATAAAAAACCCAATTAGAATCTGAAGAAATATATAAAATAAATCGAAAATATCGAATTTCAGAGAATGCAGTTGCAATAGAATAGAATGGCTTAGTGGGTTGTTGCTCAATTCGGAGCGCTGATGCTGAGGTTCTATTCGCCACGGAAATAAACCTATATAAAAATCCGGGTGATGCTGGCGAATCACCTATCGCCAAGGGATTCAGATTCCCTGCCACATTTGTCCAGTGCGACAAGCCAGCGGAGCGAGTTTAACCAGTAATGGTGAGGGCTCTTTAAAAAAAAAAGGAGTGGAGAAATTTGAAGAATAAAATGAACGGAGTTCTAAAACCTGGTGAATCACCAGATTTTGGACTATTCGTAAAAAGTTTGAATCCGAATTTAAATTAAATTAAATTCTGCAATAATCGCGACATTAACAGCCGGGCAAGCTAGTTTAACCAGAAATGGTGAATATTGGCTCCACTGCAATTATTTTTATAATTTTTAGTAAAAAAGAATCACATTTATTCTTTATATATTTGATATTTTTTCAATAATTGTCGAAAACTCAAAAGTTTATATTATAGGAGAAAAAATTCGGCAGCCATTTTTAAAATTTTTTTGTTGACTTAAACTTTTTTTTGATATTATTTGTTCAAAGAACGCTTTTTTTAAAAATTATTTTGAGAAATTTGTGTTAAAAAATTAAAAATTCTCAATTAAAAATCATCTTTTGCTGGATATTAAGCGACGTTTACAGTCATTATCAGATCATCAAAATGTTAAATATTAAGAGTCATTATCAGATCATTAAAATATTCGATTATGATAATATTTATCAATATACTTTCTCAAGTAAATTCTCGAAATTTCTAAAAATTTCGAGTGGTTATAATTCTTTTTTTACGTTTAAGTTAAAATAAAAAAAAATACAAAGAAAATTAACGAAAAATTAATTATCAAAAAAAATTCTTTTTCCCCTTTTTTACTCTCATTGCCCTCGAAAGTGGTAAACTTGTTATCAAATCAAAAATCTAAGTGGCTACTGAAAACCCACCTGCACTCCTATCCTCACTATGAACTATGAAAGGGTTTGTCACTATCATTGTCATTATGAAACTGCGTTCATGTTCTCCGACGCGTCTCTAGGTGGTATATATATATATGTGCAAACCGAGCCCAGTAAAACGAATAGAAGGCTTTAGAATAAAATAAGCACTCGCGCTTAAGTAATTTCTCGAAGTCGAGAAATAACAGCGAGATATTAACAATAGCAGCATGGGCACTCATGGAAGTTATGAATCGGGCTACCACTGTCCACACTCCACAAATACCGCCTGCTTCTCGAAAGACTTTCCTGATTTTGGAAGTTGAAACCAATTATGAAATTTAAATATTGGCTGTATAATTGAGAGCTTTGGATAACTCAGGCGAAATAACGCAGCGACTGCAATATCTAAAAAACTCGGTCTGCTCTGGTAAAAAGCCGATTAACGACTATATGGTTTATGCCTGCTTCAAAGTAATGTTTTGCAATGGCTCGAAATATTATATGAAATATCTCTCTTGAAAAACATGATCATAATCCGGGAAAACTGGAATGCACATCTAGGTTATGATGTTGCTATGATGGACTCCACAGTTGGAAAATATGGCATCCACAATGCGCGATTGGACCTTTGCCGAAAATCATAAACCTCTTATTACTAATACATGCTTCTTGCATTAGAGAAGTTATATCTATCTATCTTTTCAGGTTAAATGGCCACCTGTCATCCCGGATAAAATTCCGCTAAGCCATGCAACGATCTCCATCATTTAGCTTAAGAATCCCCTAGAGAAGTATTCGGGGTGAAATCTTCAAATGTCACCCACTATTCTTCATAATACATCTTCATCGGATCTATTCTCTGGTATGAAAGGAAGAATACCAGACTGAAGCAAAGCAATCCTGTCAATCCCTAAAGATCCCTGAAATATGATACAGTATCATCGAGGAATCGGCATACTAATCTCTAGGAAAAATTTCGCTTCCCCTCTGCTCAAGAGACTTATGGCAATATAGCAAAATGTATCCTAACCAAGCTTCAGATAAGTATTGAAGGATTAAAAGCCATTAAGTTTAAAAAAATTATTTTTATAAGCAAAAGATAATTTGAATATCGTTTTATAAAGCTTTCAAGACGCAAATCTAATCTATATTGTTTTTCAAGCAAATTTATAAAATCCTTGATTTCAACAAGTGTGTAAGCTACTGATGCTAGCAATAATTGTTCAAAATTTGTTCAATATTCAAAAAATTTCACAAAAAAATTCCGTTTTTAACTCTTAAAAAATGAAAAAATAAAACCCTCCAAATTTTTTTCAACAATATAACACCATCAACCAGACATTTAAAAAATTTTCTTACACTCCCTTCAAATCTGACGATTTTTTAACCAAATTTTTTTCCAATTTTAATATAAAAAAATTTCTATTTTCTTTTATTTCGATAAGACTATTTTTTCTTTGCATTTACACATTGATAAGTGAAAACGCAATATTTCAGAATCATTTTTAAGAAAAAAATATATTAATAAGAATGTAATAAAAACAGAAATAATCCAGTATTAATATAAAGAATGTTCAAAAAATGATAGAAAGAAATTGAAAGTTGTTTTTTTTGAAATGTTTAATAAATTGCTAAACCCTGTGATGGAAAGTGTCAAAAGCGAGGTGGCCCCAATCAAGACCTGGACTGATACGGTCAGAGAAGATTTAAAAGTATAGATGGACCAGCAATATACAAACTTAGACGATGGAAAAAGGAATGGCTTCTATCACTGTAAACGATGGCGGTAAATTGCGCAGCTTGGAAACGACCTTACCCTTGTGGCTAGTGAAGCCAGCCTGACCAGTTATGATGACAGCTGTTAGAAGAAGCCTACTAACGTGAAACAAAACGTAAGCGAAGAACATTTTCATTAATTTATAATTTAACATATTTATATGAAGGAAAATAATCATTTCTTCATTTTTAACAGATCTAACTGTCACAAAAAACATTCTTAGCAATTAAAAATTTATTAAAAATTAAATAATTTCTTTAATACTTTAAAATAATTAAATAGATATACACAAAAAAAATTATTGGGGCATCGAAGGGCCTTGAGAATGAATTTGCTCAGATCCACCATCCATTTTGCCGGATATTGGGACCATTTTGATAGGAATTGTTCTTTCCATGCCATCTTCCTAAAATAAATGAATCTTATTCTTTCTCGACTTATTTCCAAATGAAACTTGGCACACTAGTGAAATTATTTAAAAACGTATCCTCAGTCCACTGAAAGAAAATTGAATATTATTTTAGGCTAAATATAATTAAGAATCCAACCTCGAAATTCCTATTACTTAACCACTATGGCAAAATCTATATCTGCCTATACATGCCTCATTTCCTTTCTTTAAAATTAAAAGTCTGAGAGTTGGGCTAACAGTTTTGGAATTGGGCGCGGTAGATACACTTCATATTTAACCTTATATAACATTTATTTTTTGCTTCTCTAATCTGATTTTCTTTCAACAGTCAGCTTTGGTAGATTTTTATTTAACTTTGGACAATTTGGATACACAAATGATTCTTCAATCAAAATGAAAAAAAGCGAAGGAGAGAAAAGAATAATAAATACATATATTTAATACCAGAAAATTTTTAAACCTTAGGTCGTGGTGGTAGAACTGAAAGATTAAGTTGTCCGTCAGAAGTAAGGAAACAGTTTACTGCATCAGCAGTTGCATTCTTTGGTAAAAAGAATTTTCTGAATTAAAACGAAAAAAATAGCTTCTGTAATTATAATAGATATGGTATTCTTTAATTGTTAAATTATTAAAAAAGTTAAACTTTAATTCATTAAAATATTTAATTCGTTGAATCAAAATACCTAACAAAATGACGTTCGACGAAGCCAAGTTCATCTTCACGTTCCGGATGTTTTGCTTCAACTATAACGTATTGTCCGACCACAGATACCTCAAAAAATTGCATTATGAAAAAATTTCCAATGAGAACTCTAATGGATGATTTTTTGTATTTATTTGTATATATATTTTAATTTTATGGAAGTTCGATATGCGTAAAGAAGATTCAATTATCTGATTTCTCTGATCTAAAAAGTGCAGAACTTCTTTTTAAAAATTCCTAACTATATTGATTAGTGGGAATAGCCTAGCCAGAAATGATGAGAATGGAAAACATAAGGAATATTTCGAAAAAAGAGATCGTAATATATAAAAATTCGCGAAAGAAAAATATTAATCGTAGGCTCATCTGATTATAAGAAATGAGATTTAGTCACCAAGTATCCTTAGTTTTTACAACAATAACAACCCGCAAGAAATAATCTCATAAGATCTTTCAAACTAAAAGATTCAGAGAAAATAAGAGCATCGCAAACTATTATTGAAGCACCTCAATGATACAATGATACAAAGGCTTTTCTGGAATGGCAGATGAATATTAGATGCCTGGATAAAGACCATTGATAAAAAAATTTAAAAAAAAGCTCAGTGGTAGTTAATCCTATCTCGAAGTACCGATGTTAGGGTTCATCAAAAATAATTTAAAAATCTGGGTAATGCTGGCGACCTATCTATATTTCTATTGAGTCATCAATTGACTCCAAATTTAAAAAAAAAATTGATGAAAACTTGATATCACCCAAAAAGAAAAAAGTTTTCGGCAAAAGTCAAGAAAACAAAATTTCCGACGTCAAAAAAGCCTTAAATTTGTGTAAAATTTTCAAAATTTTTTAAGAATTCGAACTAAATTATTAACAACCAAATGTTTCTCAAAAAATTGTAGAAACTGCTAAAAATTTTCACGAATTTTACTCAAAGAACAACAAAGAGGAGAAAATTATTAGATTACCTGAGAAAAGAAATAAAATGCTAACTTTTAATTCATCTTGTTTGAATTGTGAAACATCAATCTGCACTTGCAATGAATCATCAACGACATTATGTGAAGAAATATGTCCAAAATTCGCATTTAAAGGTGAAAGATTTATTGGCGAAGACTGAAAATAATCAAATGTCATGATTTTTAAATATTTTAAATTTCTCGATCAAAGCAGTAAGTCCGATGAAAGTATTTAAATACGTAAAAGAGAAACGATAAATTTTTTATATCCAATAAATAACTAGCGAATAAGTTCTGTGCAAGAAATCGTGCAAGTTCTAGAATTAAAAAATTAATCAAACAAACAATATTTATGGAGGGACCACGGTTGTTGCTTTGATCACTAAGCATCAGAGGTTCAAACATAGAGTTTCGATTCCGAGAGAAATATAAAAAATAAGGGTGGTGCTAGTGAATTTATATCGTCAAATGATCAAGTAAAAATTCCTCATTATGCTAATATCCAGTGGAGAATAACAAAAATGATTAGCATAATAAAATTTTATTTAATATGTTAATCATACGATTCTTTAAATTAAAAATTAATAAAAATTAAAAATGAGGATAAAAAATGAGAATGTATAGTGGATAGTTCTCACTTCGAAGCGCCTATACTGGTCCTATATTGGTACTCCGGCAAAAGTAAATCTAATCCAAGTGATGCTGGTGATCTGGTAAAAATTTGTCTGGCCCGACAATATAACCGATTAGGCCTAACCAAAAATAGTGAGTACTCTCAGAAAAAACAAAAAACAAACATGATGATTTGCAGTATTAACTCGAAGTGGCGAACTCATCGGTGAACCTAAGCGAATACGTGAAGGTTCTTCAATTATGCGTTTTTCATATGTACGATTATAAGACGATGTTCGATTATAGGATGATGACATCGTATTTGGCTCCCTTAATAAAAATGATTAATTAAAGCTAGGCTAATAAAAATAAATGATAAATAATAAAAGGCTTTGGTAGCAACAAATATGAAAACAACGAAAAGACAATAATATATCACAGATAATTTAGAACATATGGAAGAAAAGACTTAAATTTTTCTGAAAACAAAAAAACAATAACAGTGCATAGGAAAAAATAAAATGAAGCTATGGACAAAAAGATGAAAATTTTTTCAATACTTTGAAAAATTTCCATAAATTTTGCCAATTTATTAACTTCAGCATAACAATGCTAATTAAATTAAAAATAATAAATATTGAAAAGTGAGAAAAATGGAAATTGAAAAAAAATCAAATAAAACCAAAATAAAATAGGAAATATAAAATTATATAAAATGATTCAATGAAATATCTATTAGATTTAAGTAGAAATAGTTATAATGACAGGCGTCGGCACACTATCCTCAAACTAGTTGAGATTTTAGCTACTGAACTTATATAAGTAAACAAAAATAACTACCTGATCAATCAAATCAATAAAGCGAATTAACGAAGATAATTTCCACATCAAGTTTTTTATAAAAAGCAGATAAAAGTAGGTAAAGATAGACAAAAAGTAATATAAGGCAAATCGCTATAAAAAAATTATAAAACGCAATGCAAATAAAAAATTTTAAAAAACAAAGCAAATAAAGGATGATGAAATAGAATAACGATAAAAAAAGGAAATATTAAATAAAAATGAATTTAAAAAATACAAAATTCGTAAAAATTGCAATAAAGTAAGTACGAGATAAGCTTTATGTTTAAATATAAATATAAACTAGTCAGCTGACCGACTATAAGTCAATGAGGATGTGAAATGAATGAATGAATCGACAACAAGTGAACAAGAAGAGTTCAAATTAAACACCCATATGAACTAAACTAAACAGCTGTTTTGTAATAAAAATGATTCAGCTTAATTGCAAGATTAAAAATCCCAATAACTGAGTTTTTTTTTAAAGTTTTCGAATTCAATTGCAAATATAAATTTTCTTTCAATAAAAAGTGATTAAGTAATAAAAAAAATCTGACATAAGAAGAACCAATGATAGAGTATAAAAATGTATATAGATAACAAATTAATTAACTGGAACTCGTCGATTAAATTCATAAGACTTTACCTCGGACGGGTTTTAGCAAGAAGCCCCAGCCGTAAGTACTGACTTCGCACTTTTTTCCAGCTAGGAAATGCAGAAGCAACATCGTCATTCGCATGAAGTATACCACCAGATAACTTTAGAATTCGTTCAGTTTCATGAACGGCTTTCCATCGACCCTAAAACCTTCATATTACTTATGTGGAGAATATGGTTTCAACCAGTAAATTATCACATTTAAAAAATAGGTTTTCATCAAAGCAATGCAAATTACAAATTATAAACATTTTAAAATCGAAAATTTTTCTATTTTTTCACTAAAGTTAAAGGACTGACCATATTCCATGCATCCTTTGGTGACAACAAACCAAGCCGAATATCACGCCGGCAGTTACGGTCGATTTCACGAACATTAGCTTGTGCTCGGGTAATTGGCCTGCATAATGGATGATGCTCCGGGAAAAGATTACCGATTATTGCCCCATTTTTGACCTAAAGTTTTTATATAAATGAACAAAATAAATATTTTCACAAATATGGGAAAATAAAATACTTTTAACTTGGGAAGAATATTAGTTTGCATTCTTCGATGTATTGTAGCGCAGTGAGAACAGCGAAAGTATTTGACTTTAGAAGAATCATCGCAACTTTTACACTGCATATATTGTCTAACAAGACCATTGCTTTCAGGCACAGTTAGCACAGTGCTTTGAAGACATCGCGACATGCCACCCATCGATGGTTCGTCTGTACCGATCTCACTGCAAATAAAATGATATATGGATATATATAAAATGATATTAAAAAAAAGATTTGAAATCAAAACATGAAAACTTTTAAAAGTAACCAATCTAAAAATTTAAGTTCCAAAAGATAAAAATCCTGAAGATTATCAACTACCAATTTTATTTTTATTTATTTATTTAATCAAAATTTATTAGAGTTTTAATTAGAAATTCTACTAAAATTTAAATTTCATAATACTAAATTTCCTTAAAATTTTTCCCACTTTTCGATATTTAAGTCACAAAAAAGACAACAAACAAATTAAGAATTTACCATACAACTCCTCCTGATATAGTTGAAAGCGGTATTCGCTGTTCGACACCAAATGATGGAAATTCGACAGCATCCTCGCAATTATCGACTCTCATATAATTTTTCTCTTGTGATTTAACTGATTCATTATATGCCTGTAATGATATTTTAATTTTACGATTGAAATGCAAAATACACGCCTCAATGCTAATATAAGCACTGAAACAATCGGAGAAACACTGGACTTTTGGAAAGAAATTTTATAAAAATCCAACTACATAATCATTATCAATATTATTCAATAATAAAACTTGCCAATTTTTCTAACTTTGAATTCAGTACACAAAGAGGTACTTTAGCACCAATTATTCCGCTTACTTTATCTTGAAGTTCTTCAATTGATGTCATTTTACCTTGAACATAAGACAATAAGAAAGATACAATCGAAGGATTATCCCATAAATTAGCAGACAAAGGTCTGAAAGAATATTAAATATTATTAAAAATATTATGAAAACTAAGATAAAAGAATTATTATAGATATTATAGATTATATAAGAGTTATTCTTGTAGATAAATAAATTAGACACTCTCGGATTAATAATATAATTATTTATCGAGAACAAAACCATTGTAATTCAAAATTAATGAATAAATGAAAAATTCTAAAAAAACAATCAAATTTTGATAAATCTCGACTTTTCTTTAGCATCTTCAGCAGAGAATCAAATTTTAAAACACAAACAAAATGATAAGAATAAGGTATACTTAAAGACATTTGCCTTAATCGGATTAACTTACATTTCCTCCTTTTCATTTTTTATTTTTCTTTTCCTTTTATTAATTATTGCCAGTGATGATGATCGCGTAACAAATCCAGACGATTTTCTTATATTTTTACTTGCTGCTTTATCATCACATAATTCGTTTACGTATAACGAAATGTTTCGTTCCTAGAGAAAAATATAAACTTTTTTATACGATATTTTTTGATCAAAATGACTCGCTTAACAAACAAAAATTATAAAAATTATCAATTATAAAAAAAAAGAAAATAAATTATAAAATTTACAAAAATTTATCCATGGAAGAAAGTGAATTAATTGAGAGATTTTTAAGATATAAAGATTTTTAAAATTTTTTTGAAATTAGAGGACAATTTTCTCTTCAAATTGTTTTACATTTCATCTATTTATATAAGCGAAAATATAATTTCAATAGAAATTAAAAAAAGTAATAAATTTATGAAAACTAACAGGAAAATTAACATAAGATTTCCCATTTAATCGCCTAGACATTGTCATTTTTGAAACTGATACTCCTGTGATTTCGAATATCCGCCAACAGAGCATTTCAAGTGATCGAATTTTTTTCGATAGATAATCTTCAATGCATTGTACCACTAATGCACTGTTCCAGTCAATTCCAGTTGAATCGCCATACTGTCGCTGTCGCTTTCTATCCGGTTTACCCACATCATAATCATCGCATACTTGAAAATAATAAATTTGCTCTTATTTAAAACAAGGGCATACTGAAATATGATATACTTGCTATGACTGTTGTATTATAAAAAATAATAATTGCAACAAAAAAATCAATCATTTAACTATTACGAAACTAAAAAGATAAAATTTTTAGACTGAAAATCTTTCTTTATTGCTTCTGATAGCTTCGCATGTCTTTCATTCATAATTAGTAAAAAAATAACGCATTAAGTAGGACAAAAGAAAATCAAGAAATAAATCCACGATTACTGAGACAAGAAGATTACTTGTGAAGTGAAAAAAACTGAAATTGAAATTAAAGAATAAAATTGCAATTATAAATGGGTGAAAAAATTGATTCAATGAGGATTACGCATCATAAAAATATTAATAATTTAATTGAACAGAAATTAAAAGAAATGTGCAAAAAACTTACATGAACTCGATTCACTTGCCACTTGCATATCGCCTTCTATGTCAGAATTCGATTCATCAAACCCATCTTTCGTAAACGTTGAACAACCATCTTGAACTAACTGTTGAATATCCATTATCATCAATCATAAACCTGCAAAATATTACCAGATGAAAATTCAATCAAAATGCCTTTTGGTCATATCTGTGGCAATGATGTATAATGAAAAATGATACTTAATACTGCATATTGCAAATATATAATATACAATATAAATTAAAGCAACAATTATCATTTTTTTTGAGCGCCCATCATTTCTGATTAGGCTTGCTCAAATGGCTTATCGCGCCACACTTATTTTACCGAGAAATCATTCGGTAAAAATATAGTTCAGTCCTCAGCACCCCAGATTTCTGAAAGAGATTTATTTGTACCGGACGCAAAACCTTATAGACGATTCGAAATGCAAGAATCCACTGAGCCATTCTACTATCCATTAATTATATCAAAGTAAAGAGATTATGAATAATTAAGAAGAAATAAAACATTTTTTAAATGATAACATGAACCAAAATGTCATGAAAAAGAATCTAATGATTATTATGTCTTAAATGCAAATAATTCTTTAAAACTGCAAAAAAGCAATCTTTGCAGGTCAGAATGGTCGATTCCAGTGAGACTATCACAGGTCTGGCTAAGTGGCGTTCCCTGACAAAAGTAAATCTATTATTAAACGTGAGATCTGGGGAACTTATATTTCGAATCCTTCTGAACGACAAATTAAAAAACAAGCTTAACCACAATTTAACAACAAATTATTAGCTAAACTTAAGTCTCAAACCCAGAAATCCCTACAAAATCGCTAGGTCAAATTTAAGTGCCACTAAGAGACAGGGATCAAGGAATAATAAAATAAAATAAAAAGCCTTGGAGAATCGAAAAAATATTAAGCTACTAAGTTTGAAAAGCCAAACTCTTGAAACGTTCATAGCACATTTGCACTAGGAATGCACTCTGTCTGCACCGCTGTTCCACCTTGTACTGTGACTGCGAGAACAGTTTTTTTGCACTGAGAGATAGCTATGCAAGATCAAGAAGCGTAAGGCGTCGCAGATAGTCGCATCCATTACCACTTCTTCATCCCTCTACTTCTAATAAAAAACTGTGGAGTGCCTAGGTTTTACATAGATTTTCGTCATTTACATGGAAAAGAAAGTGAAGTTGCAAATTAGCTGAAAATTACAGAATTCCCTCGCTATAATCATTTTCCGCCTCCGTTTTGCTTCTTCAGTACTTTCTGGAACTCACGAACCATTTTTAATAAGTCCGGATCCTCTTTATTCCTTCACGCTCCACCACGGCCCTTCTGCCCTTTAAAATTTCATGGTCCTCTGAAAACTCTTAAGCTTCGCCATTATAAACGTTTTGCTTTCATTACTTCCAATCGAACCAAATTACAAACCTACCGCCTCACGAAAAGTTAAGTATTCGCCACCGGTCGTACTTTTCCTTGAAGACATTGATAAGGCCACTAAAAATTCTTACTGATAAGAATTTTTGTATGAGTTAAAAGCAGGAAAGCAGTATAATGAAATGGAAAGATTCCTTTACCGAATCAAACGAATTATTTATTTATTCGCAACACGGCCTTATTCGGGATATTTTCAAGTCTCATACCATCCATTTAAACAATTTGTGTAATTAAAGATAATTTGAAAATAAAGACAATAAATTAAAAGAATTAAATAAACTTTTAAAATATTTTCAACAATAAACATTCCTTCTTTATGGAAATACAATTTTTAAATATGAAAATTAATAAGAGTATGAAGAAAAACAAACTAATTAGCACGATAAAAAAAAATAAAATTTGGTAAAAGTGTGAAATTTCTTGGAACATGAAAAATCCTACAAAAACAACGCCGCGAACCAGCATTCACCAGGATTTTCTTTTTCATCATAATCAAATTTTTTATTGTAATTTTCTTTATATATGATTACTTAATGATTAAAATAAGGAAAGATCTGGTAAAATGGGCAATACAACAGAAAAATATCCTATCTGCAAAAAGACCAATGGATAACGACCGCTTTATCCCTTCCATTTCTTCATTTATATATTTATTTATATCAAAAAAATTATCAAAATTATAAAAAATAAAATACATTGTAAACAAATCTAAATACAGAATCTGAAGTACAACTTTATATCGATGAATTTTTCATCAATATTAGCTACTATGATTTATAATTAAAATGCATTAAAAAACATACATGTTCAGTCAAAAAACAATTTATAATACGATAAAAATTTAAGAAATAAATAGTGTGTTAGTTAGCACTTAGTTATCACAGTAAATATATGAAAGAATAAAATTGAACAGAACAGTGAACGCTCATATATCACTGTGCTACTGGTCTACTGCGATTGCAGCCAAAGGCGATTTCCATTTTGATTTAAAACGTTCGTCTCGTTTTCACAAACAGTCTCTTGGCTGTAGAACGTTGGCTGCAATAAACTTTAAAATTTTCAACAAATTTCAGATGAAATATAAATATTAAAATAAATGAACTTGATCAACTTGACAAATTTGACCAAAAAATTTTGCAGAAATATAAAAATTAATGACATATAACTGTTGCCAATTATTTTTAACAGTTACTGGTTATATACAGACGGTTAGCAGATTAGTAAGGCGCTTAAAATATTTTGAAAAAGAAAAGCTGGTAAAATTCGACTAGAGTTTAGATTATAGATATATAAAGATTAGAGCTGTCTCGAACTTTACATTAAAATTTTTTTCTAAACCATTTAATAAAAAAAAATATTTAATAAAAAAAAAGCAAATCGAACTTAGTAATATAACCAGAAATGACTGAAAAATAAATTAAAAACAAAGAATAGTTGAAAAATTACGAACCTCTTGGTTATATGAAACATTCTTTTCTTCTTCATCAGAGTCACTCGACTCATTAATAGCATTTTTCTTTTCTGATTCAGCCAGTGTATATCTTGTAAAACACTAAAATTAAACTGTAAACTGAAACAAAATTAAATCATTTAATCGTTTCATGAAAAGACTTGAAAACCCTAACCGTATCACAAACACGAACAGGTCTTTTATTCAAACCAGATATGCGGTAATTGTGGGTTGAACAGGCAGCACATACAACATTGCCACATGCCCGACAATGATGCTGAAATCGATTAAGAATGAATTCTGGATGAATAGTGTGATTTTAAAAGATTACCCGACGTTGTAACACAGTGAATTGAGTTTTGTTGCAATTCATACATTTCGAAGCTTCACCATCCGGAATCCAAACTGCCGCATGCTCGGTTGCGGCTTTTTTACCACCTAAAAAATAATTTTACCTGAGATTTTCAACAGAAATAAGAAAAAAATTGAAGAAAAAATAAGAATTTCAGAAATATATCCGATAGATAGAAGGCTGAAGTAAAAAATTTCAAAAATTTAGATCTAAATTTTTACTGTTCCGTAGAATGTCTTGAACACAACGTTCGATGTGCAACATCCATTCCTTCTTTTCCGTACTGGTTGCTGCAAAAACAGCAAATGACTTTAAACGAGTTTTTAATACCCATCCATTTCGCATTTCTATAAAAGATAATTTAAAGAGCGTATAAATGCGAAGAGGATACTTTTCGCATATTTCAACAAAATTTCGAATAAATTTTTCAATCATTGCAACTGCAACCGAAATGCATATATACCTCCGTCGTCCTCCAAATCTTGTAATTGAACTTCTTCCAAAGGAATCACATGCTGTTTATTGTATCGCTTTTTAGATATTAGAATATTTCCATATACCAGTATATCATTAAATAAAAAAAATTGGCGCGGTTTTGGCTTTTTCCTACAAAATTAAAATACAGAAACAATTAGCAAAAAAGTCACTTAAAATTAGTTTATGAAAATAATACAATATATGATCCAGTTTCTAATTTAGTAATAATTAGTAGTACCAAAATTTAATGCTAATGGCCAACAGAAATTATTTCAGCTCGGCCAAATAAAAATAATTTCTATAGAAACTAACTAACAAACTATTCAAAATTATAGATGAAAAAAATAACCTGCAGATTTTAACCAAAACTCCTTCACCGACAAGTACACGTCCATATGCAGCAAGCGGTTGTCCGCTACTTCCAAAGCAAGCTTCAACATTTGCGATGCGACGAGCATTAACTTCACTATTCACTGAAACATTTTCATTATTAACTCATTTTCTTACAAACTATTTAATTTTTATTGAATATTTTTTTCATTTATCATTTGTTGACATAAGTTTCAAAAAACTTTACCACATACAGAATTATTAATCTATCATAGAAAATTCAAAAGCATAAAAACGAAGAGAAATTTAAATCCCATTCCCGATTTCAACAGATACCTCCAACAATATTTCCAATAAAATATAACGCCTTCATTTTTTTACAGGAATATTTAATATGCCAAATATTTATTGATAACCAACCAAGCAGGGCGACAAGGCCATGTGCTTGTATTAATAATAACAATTAAGATAACAGAAAAAAAAAAAAAAAAAAAAAAAAAAAAAAAAAAAAATATATAACATAAACAAAATTAATTATAAAACAATATGACAGAAATTAACAATTTAAAGAGGAAATTACAGATCAATATAATATAGTACAATTCGAGGTAACATATATAACCTGAAGATAAAATCGAGATTTCTCACTTCCTGCAGTTCTTGTCTGGTGTAAACTCTTCTCTTTTTTTTTTGTTTTTAAATAATATCGTAAATGATATTATCTAGTCTTTTTTTAAAGACAGCTAGGGATGACGCACAAGCTACATCGTTCGGTAATTTGTTCCAGTAGTTAATAGTACGAATAAAGAAGTCATGGGTCCTTAGTTTAGTTTTGCATATAGGTTTTAGTAATTTTAAGCCATTAGTTCTTGTTGGATTCAAATTTAGTCTAAAGTTATAATATTTCGAGCAATCTAGTTTAACATAACCATACAGAATCTTATATGTGTAAATTAAATCTTGTTTAATTCTACGAACTGAGAGAGAATCCATGTTATGTTGTAGAAGTGTTCTTTTATAATTAAAATTATAATTTTTATTAGGAGAGAGGCGTCTTAGAAAATATTTTTGGAGTCCTTCGATTATTTTGCCTGTTTTGCGATGTCTAGGGGAGTTACATATAGTATTGTAGTCAAGAAGAGGCCGAACGAATGCTTTGTATAATTTGATAAGAAAACTTTCAGTTTTGTTCTTAAACGAACGAAAAAAATTTAGTATCTTTGAGGATTTCTTTACTATGGTTCTGCAGTGAAGATCGAAATCGAGATTTTCATCCATGATTATTCCAAGATCGGAGATGTGTGAGACTCTACTGATTATATCACCATTGATAAAAAGATTAGGAAGATCGAATCCTTTAGAGTTGATGTGAAGAACGC